AATCAGAATACGTGAGCACAAATAAAAAATAGTTAATTCTCAATTCTCATAATAATGATGCAGTGAATTCTGAAAGATAGAAATTTTTCACCAAAATTGGCTAGCAAGCGAAGTCAAAAATAAATCTTACCTCACATTTGTCCACTTCAATTAAAATCGTCGCTAATACTTGCTCAATATTCTGGAGCATCAGCTGAGCGCAGAAGCTGACTTGTAAATCACAAGATGTTGAGGTTCACTTGAGAAATGAAGAGTGCTTTGCTGCCATGAATATGTAGTGAAAATTTTCCAACAAGTCAAGAAACAGCAGCTCATTTTTATTAATGAAGCTGCGTGTGCCCTTCACCGAAATTATGCACTCTAGAGTTTATGGTGAACCTGGCTCTTCATTACATGTTGAGAATGTCGGAAATGTTAATTCCACTACTTCTTGATTTTTCGGTTTCTCATGCTTTTTAAACAGTACCTTTTCTTCCTTAAATTCTTCCTTCGTAAAACTTTTTCTTTTTCTTAGCAGTGTTACTAATATTTTTTACAGCGCAAAAATAATGGAAATGAAGAACGCCAACCAGCAACATCCATGTTTTTCCAAACTATTTGACTTTTCATTCTTCACAACGTCAAATCTGCTTCTTCTATCTAACGAAAAGGAAACGTGAGTCATAGCATCACAATCCTTTCCCTTGATCGATTACACGCTATTATTATTGTTCGTGTCCTCAGAATTTTTCTTCCTTTAAAATTCAAAGACTTTTTCTTCTTTTCTTTTAAAATAGTGCTGCAAATTTTTTCGATATGAATCGCAAAAATGAAGCATATTAACGCAGCACGCATCGAATTCATGTTTCTCAGATTTCCAGGCTTTCTATACTGCTCTTGGAGGAAACCGAGGCATTGCAATCTTCTGCCCATTTCAATACCTCAAACATTTCCATCCATGTTGTTGAAGGGCGCAACGTATTCGACTTGTTCTATTGCTGAGCTTTCGGCGTATTCCACATTCCACATTCTTTTCGCCTTTTTCCTTCCCTTGTCGTTTTTCTAATAGTGCTGCAGAACTTCTCACATCTATTTCTAGCATGAAGAATACCACTGCAGCACGCCTGAAATCCACGTTTCCTCAAATTTCCAGGCTTTGCACACTGCAAACGGCAGAATTTGAAGTAGTGTAATCCCTCCGCCATCTTAACGACGTCTGAGTATTCTGAAATCATATATGCAATAAAAAACTTTCACGAAACCAGAATCAGTGACGTAAGATAATAACAATATCCCACTAAAGTGCAACATGTCTAAGTGATTTGCCGTA